TCTGATAAAATTCAACACCCATTTATGATAAAAACGCTCACCAAAGTGGGTATAGAGGGAACATACCTCAACATAATAAAAGCTATTATATATGACAAACCTACAGCCAGCATAGTATTCAATGGTGAAAAACTCAAAAGCTTCCCACTAAAATCTGGGACAAGACAAGGCTGCCCACTCTCACCACTCCTATTCAACATAGTTTAGGAAGTCCTAGCCACAGCAATCAAGCAACAGAGAGAAATAAAAGGGACCCAAATTGGAAAAGAAGAGATAAAAGTATCACTGTATGCAGATGACATGATACTATATATATTTTTACAGGGGAGGCAACAGGCACAGAGAGGTTATGTAATAAGCACTAGGCTACACAGCTAATATATGTGGTAAAGCCAGGATCTGAATCCAGGCAGTCTGGCTTTGGATATGTAGGACTGCCTCATATGTTCTATAAACATATAAACTTAAATGAATTAAAATATAGAGCAACCACTAGAATAAAGATTGAATGTATAACTTCCAAACCACTAAAGAAAAACCTGGAAAAAGAAACTATATTCAACCAAAGTTAGGAAAGAGAAGAAAACAACAGGAAGCATGATACATAGGAAAAACAAGTTAGAATTAGACCCAGACACATAAATAAGGGTGAGTTAAATTTTACTATTAAAACAGGAAATATCTCAAATGTGGGGAGCACATGTATATGCTTTTAAAACAAACATCTAAAACAAGAGCTAATAACTCCTTTATTAGATATATATTCAGAGATACCCTTGCAAAAGTGTATCAGGAGACACACACAAGAGTTTACTGCCAGCATTGTTTATTTTTGTTTTGTTTTAGGGGAGGTAATTAGGTTTGCTTATTTGTTTGTTTATGGGGGGTATTTCAGTTTAGTTATTTTTTTAAGAGGTACGAGGATTGAACCCAGGACTTCGTGCATGCTAAGCATGCACTCTACCACTGAGGTACACCCTCCCCTCCAGCATTGTTTGTAATAACAAGAAACTGGGGTGGGGAGACCTAAACAAGGGATGGCATAGATGGGGAGTAATAGAAACTGTCACATTGCTGGTGGAAAGGTAAATTGGTAAAGAGCCTTTAATTAAAAAAAAAGAATAGGTATTTACCACAAACCTTCAGAAAACATCATGAAGGAAACGTTAAGATGTAATACAAATAATTTCTAGAGAGACTTAAGTACCCTCGAGGCTAATATGAAGCGTTGTACTGGATTCTTGGAAAAAGCCAAAATTGTTGTTTACAGATGAACAGTTTTCTACAGAATTAAAGAGAATTATTAAGAATACAAAGGTTTAGCGAAGTGATCATATAGATCAATATACCAAAACCCAAATTATCCTAGGGTACAGTAATATTCCATTAGAAGGAGCAAACTAAGAAAACAGCAAAACCGCTAGGAAAAAACCTAAAAAGAAATGTGCAAGACACCAAGAAAATTACAAGACCTCACCTGACTAACAAGGCAAGACCTGAATACAAGGGGAAATAACAACATGCTTAATAGGAAGTCTCCATATTGTACTGGTATCAAATCTGGGCAAATTAATGTATAAAAACAAATGCCGGGAAAACGTTGCCATTTGGCGACAACCTGTCACAGAATCTGGACCTGGTTTGACGTTCTTCACGTGTGTGGGAACGCGCTGCGAAAAGTCAAACCACGAACGGAGAGGCACCTCCCGCGCCGAATCCCCCGCGGAAGGCCGCGCAGCCGGAAGCTCAACGCCGGCCCCGCCCACCTCTGTGTCGTGGGCGGGGCGTTTCCGGCCGCTGACGCGTGCGCGCGCCGACGTCCCAGCAGACCCCACTCTGCGCAGAACGGCGCGGCCGGGCGCCAGGCTTCGCGGCGTCAGCCGCACTGGTTCCTCAGCACCTTAGGGCTGGGGCTGCCGAGCCCGCCCCAAAAGGTCGTTTCCCCTGCGGTTTCCAGTAAGTGACGATCCCATTCGGAGCTGCGGCTAGAAAGAGGCCGCGCTGGCATTCTCTTCCCCCGTCTCCCAAACCCCCTTGTAAGCACTTCACTGTCCCCGGGTCACTCCTGGACTATCCGCCACCACTCTCCAAACGGGCCCTCCCAGCTCTCAAGGTTTCCCCAGAAGATGTGTCCTTTTCCTCGAGTGCTTCGTTCATCTTAAACGGTCCCCACCCTCTTTATACTCTGGAGGCTGTGTCCTTGGTCTGACACTTCACTGCTCTTCCCAGTCCGGCCATTGTGTCGGGCACCGCAGTCACACCGTGGCAATGCTCCCACCACTTCTTCCCCCACCTGCCTTCGGGATTATACCCATTCTTTCTGCTTCAGAATCTTACCCCTTGTAACGAAGGTCGACCGAGGACCAGCCCTCTCAGCGCAGCGCCCTTCCTCCTTTCTATCCTCCCCAGGTTAATTGTTAATCGCAACAATTAACGAAAGAATGCCTTAAGAGTAAGACTGACCTCAGTGTTTTACAGCATTCCTTTATTTATTCATCGCGGCAATCATTAAGTAGATACAGATGAGAAAACTGAGGCCCAGCAAAGTTAATTTGCTCGAGGTTACCTGGTTTGCATCTGATGGAGTTGAAATTTGAATCCGTTGTGTAGCTCACTCCAAAGCTGGTGCAATCACCTCTTCCGGTTTTCCAAATCCTGGGCATCACCCTTTTAGTTGCTTCTCCTGAAGAATTTTGTCCTGAAGGTCCTTGTTTACAGAAATTTGATCTCTAAAGAATTTTTACAGAACTCCTCTCGCTCAGACCCTTGAGTGTGCCATTTTATCGGGTATCTAAGCTCTGAGCTTGCTAATATTTTACATCCCCAAAATGTGCGTGTGCCTCCTTAAAAATGTATTCTTAACCCAGTGTGTACTCATTAATTGGCCCTCTTCCCCTTCTTCACTATGACCGTTATTATCGCTCTTCTCAGCAAACATTTGAGCAGTAGTTTATGTAAGACAATAAAGATAATTCCTGACCTCAAGAAGAAATATGACATTTGTTCACAAGAAGACCAAGAAAATAGATAAACACCAATTCACTCACACAGAAAACAAACTCTACAGGAGTAACTTTGGACAACAGACTTAGGTGCTAGACTTGTTTCCTCACCTGTAAAATGTTAAGGTTTGACGAGATCGTTCAGGTTTTGTGAATCTAAATTCAGAGAAAGGATTGCTCACTGCACTGAGGTGGAAACTGTTGGAAAGGGTATATAGTGTGTTCTGAATACATTATAGAGGGTAGGGATTAGGTTGAAGGCTTCTTTTAGCACTTTGAACATCTGATAATGGCTGCAGACCTTGCTCTGGAAATAAAATTCACATTCATACATCACTTTATACTCAGTTTTTAGGAGATTCATGGCCCACTCCTCCCTCCAAAGCCTACACGTTAAAAACCCCTGATTTAGAGAGAGGAAATGAACTGCAATTCAAAAGGCAAGACTAAGCCAGATGTGGAGGGCCTTTATCTTACAGCACTGTGGAACCACTGGAGGTTTAAGAAGATAAGTCTGGCAGCAGTTTGGAGGATGAGAGTGGGAAAGGCAGTGAGACTTGTTAGATGGCAAGTGAAATAATTTAGGCAGTTCAGGAAATATTAAACGGCTGTACAAAGCAGTAATGGAAATGAGGGGAAATTCCAAGAAATATTGCAAGGACAAATCATGAGGACTTGGTATCTGACTGGATATGGAATTGGATAAAGACAGGAAAGAGTCAATGATAACAAGGTTTGAAGTCTGAGTAGATATGTTCTTTCTCTACTTTGTCTTCAGATTTTTCTTATACTAGGTCATTCCTATAATATACATGCTCCAAGAGAAGCTATCACTACTGATGATGGACACCAAAAAGTGTAATAAGGGAGTCTACAAACAACTCTATACTCATAAATTCAACAACTGAGAGAAATGGACCACTATCAAAACTACCATAACTCATTCAAGAAAAAATAGGCTGAATAGTTTTATAACTATTAAAGAAATTGAATTTGTATTTAAAAATCTAAAAAAGAAAAAAAGGGAAGGAAAAAACCCCTCCAGGTCCATATAGTTTCACTGGTGAGTTTTATCAAACATTTAAGGACCAAATTTCCTCTCTTCCATTTTCTCTTCTTTCTGAAATTCTTATTGTTTATATATTAGGCCTCTTGGATTTTTGTGTGTGTGTGTGTGATTCTTTTTCCTTATTTTTCTAAACTGACTATCTTTTATGTCCTCTTTTAAGCTTTTTATTTCTGAATAATATTTTTACTTAAAAGCATATTCTTATTTTCTGAGAGTGTTTATTTCTCAGCATCTTGTTTTTGTTTGATGGGTGCAGTATCTTCTAAACCTCTCTGAAGGAACAGATCCTAATTTTTAAAGTTATCTTTTGTTTCATTTTGGTTGTTTCTCTGCTTATCTTAGATTTTATTATGCTCTAGATTTTCTTCAAATAATCTGGTGCTCTTTGGTTGTCTATTCACATCGAAGAATGAGGGAATATGAAGGGTAACAAAACTTTTTATACATGAATGAAGATTGTTAACTTCAGGCTTTTTTACTTTTAAGACTCTGCCACTTACTCTTACTCTTTGTAAGACTTTTAGAGTATAAAGCAAAAGTCAACCAAAACAGGGTGCTTATTTTGATCAAATGTGTATGAGATTTTTACCGAAGTTGTGGAAATACATATTTGATTTCTGTTGTGATGACAGGTACTCAAATTAGGTGTATTAAAGATTACCATTTAATAAAAATATAAAACCATTGTGTGAATAACTGACACCATATTCTCTTTCCATTCAGAATATAAAACATAGTTTCTATTTCCTTTGTCCCCAAAAAACATCATTTTGCTTTTTAAATTCTCTAATAATTTGTCAACATTTTGGTTTTACAGACATGGCAAGCAGGTTTTATAAACATGGATAAGAAGTCCACACACACAAGTTCTGGAGATGCCAGGACTGGCAGAAAAAGAGGTAGGAATGTTACCTGCTTTAAGACCTTTTGAGTAATTTCAAGTACATTTTGTAAATTATTTTGTTTCTCACTCATGTGTTGGTACTTGAGAGAATAATTGTGTTACATTTTATATCAATTCAAGGTAAACACAAACAGAAGAAAAAAGGAAAGCAAAACCCCAAACACCACCAATCCCGACATAGATCATCAGCATCTCATTCTTCAGATGACCGTGTGTTTCCTTTTTCTCTATCATCTTCAGGAAGCCAGACGGATTCAAGTCTCGAAGGTATGTTTATCATTTATAACCTAGATAATTTAGAAAAAATTCATTAAAACACTTTTATAAATTCTGTTTATTTAACAATATCCATTGAGAACACCTACTATATGCCAGGCATGTGGTAAACATGGCATGGTCCCTTCGGCCAAGACACTTTTAGGACATAAGGCAATAATGACAGATAAGTAGTCCATTACAGTGCAGGTGAGTTCTGTGGCGTGGTATGCACATGTTAAGAAGACAAGAAAAGGCTCTGGAGAGGAAATGATATTTAAGTTGAAAATTGGAAGATCAGTAGGCATTTTCTAGACAAAGTCAGGAAAGTAGAATTCAGGAAGATTTATTACAAGCTAAAGGAATTGCATGTGCTAACCATTGTAGACATTGGGTTTCTGATTCTTTCTCAAGTAATATGCTTACATATCTATTTCTTGATTTATCAGAGGACTAATCAAGTTATTGGTTATAAGCAAAGAAAACTGATTCTGGCTGACTTAAATGGAAAAGGAATTTATTAAAAGGAGACTGAGTAACTCACAGAATTGCCAAGAAGCCTAGAGAACTAATCTCTGAATGTGGATAGGAACAAAGTAAAACCTGGCAGCTAGAAGCATAGGCAAAGTCATAGATAAGGGCGCACTGCCACCACTGCCACTCCTGAACTGGATGCCTCAACTGGCATTGCTCTGGTCACTAAATGTACCCACTGCAGAATGGATTCTTCACTGTCTCTGTTTCTTTGTGTCACTAGGTCTCAGGCAGTACTGACTGAGCCTACCTAGATCACCTGTCCATGTCGTAGCTAGATAGGAAACTGGGAAAGCAAGCATTGGCCTTTTCAGCATTGATGGCAGGAGGCACGTAGAGGAATATTCATCAAACATATGAAGGAGAATCAGATAATGAGCAATCAAAATATAGCAAATGTTCTCCACATTCAACTCTAGACAATGTCTATACTACCTCATAAATTACTCCTTTGTCTCAGCTACCTTTATCTTCTCAGTGTTTGTTCGTTATAGTTTTTCTGTTAGTTAATTTGGTATCAGTAAATGTTATACCTGTAGTTCTGCTTTTTATTTCATCAACTTTGGTCCATTGTTTTATTCTTTTTTAAATAGGTACCCTCACCGTTTCCTCCATCCTTTCTCCCCATTGTCTTTTTTTTTTTTATCATTTTCAGTAGTTAACATTTATAGTCCGATCTACAATCAGAACTAACTGTTTCATTTTTTAGGTCCATAGATTCACTTTAAAGATTCAAAGCCAATTATCAGCATTTACATTATTATTATCATCTAAATATTATTATTGCAGTGCCAAGTCATGTGCTAGGATTACATTTCCCTTTCATGATCTAATGTCATGATTACTGGAACTCCTAAACGAGAATGTTTCTAGAATGTTTCTAGTCACATCATCAAGTACATTTATATTCCATCAGTTGCTTGAAACCATGCCATGTCTTAGTACTGTTTCATATTTGAACTATGACTTTTTATGTAGTTTTTATTTTTCTTAGACTTTCTTGTTCTACCATTTTCTTTATTATTGACAGAAAGATAATGTAAGTTCACCGTAATAAAAAGATTTTTTATCCTTTCAATCATGCTGCTCCATCGAGTTTGTATCTTTTCCCTGGAGATGCTCTTGCCTGCCTGTTATAAATTGGACCACTTTGTAATCCCAAGGCCTGAGAGATAGCTGTCAACCTAGGATTTCCTTTCACTGGTCTACTGGGTTGGGTTCATTGTTTACTAGATCCATGTCTTCCTCTCTCTTGGCTTTCTGCCTTAACTGTTAGTGTACATTGACAAATAACTTTTCCAGAATTTATGTTAAATAACTTTGCCAGAATTTGTGTCTGGAAGGAACTTATTTCTGAGTCTCTGCATACTCAAAATATCATTATTCTGCCCTCACACTGTTTTCAAAACGATTTCCCCTAATTCTGGGGTTTCCAGAAGCGGTAACTTCATTCTCTTTCAGCAGTATGTTTTGATACCAATCTTTAAATAACCTTTAAAGAAGCTTTTCATCTTCATTTTTCAGTTTTAGGCTCTATGGAAGAGAAGAATTTAGCCGCTTTTTTTCATCTGGCCCCCCACATTCACTTCCTCGCATCCTTTTAAATAGGATTTCATTATGATAACTTTGATAATTTCACTATTCAATAATATCATTAGTATGACTTTGTAGTACTCTTCACAACTGAACCATATAATGGTTTCCTTTGTAGCACAACTTTTTGTTTTCTCTTCACTCAATAATTATCTTTCAGAAATTTTATTTCATGTTCTGTGTTTTTGACGTATAATGGTAGTCTAAAATACCTTTTTAAATGTTCAAACATATCAGATGCTCTGTTAATTTTATTTTGGGAATTCTTTCCTGGATCCTTTTAACATGCTCCACCTGGAACTGCTGGCCTGTAGGTGAGTTAAGCAGCTGTGATATTAAAATTTTCTTTCATCTTCATTCTGGGATTTCTTGTACCTCTCTCTTCAATTTGATCCATTTTCTGGATTCTGTGGTTTTCTCTTCCTTTGTTTTCTCCTTTATTTTATTGGAGCACCTCTCCTAGTAACTTCTAGGAAAAAGATGGGCATTTAGTTCTTATTGTGTTTGTACTTTTGGGTTTGTGCTAGTAAATAAATTTCCTTTATTGATTTCTGCTTCCCGTGAGATGACTAGTTAGCAGCAAACCAGTGATTCCACCATAAATAATTAGAAACCTGCAGAAAATTATGTTTGAAGGAATGGAGAGCTGCTAAGGCAATAAAAACTGAAGGGATTAAGATTCTGGAGAGGAAAGAACTAAGGAGAGGTGAAGTGATACAAAGATTAGAATTTGAGACTCACCAGGGGTTGGAGAATAAAACAGTCCCTCTGTTGAAAACCCAGAAAGGCAGGGATCATCAGAGGTAAATTGAGCCTTACCAAGACTGTAGTATCATCTCAGCAGAACCTCTGATTGGTTTAGATGATTATCCATCATTCTATTTGCCTATTTAGAAGAAGGGTGAATCATCCTGGGAGAAAGAGAACACTATCTAGAGCCTCTATAATTTTGTAATAAAAGTACCTTTCAGTAAAAAATGACTAGATATTCTGAGATGATTTAAGAATCAGATTAGGCCTACAGGTAGTTCAGATATTTGAGTTAACTGACAATGAATTTTATGTAATTATGATTTGTATGTTCAAGAAAGCAGAGATTTGTAAACTATAATAATAATCAAATGGAAATTTTGGAATAACAATTTATCTAAAATTGAATTATCTAAATTATCTATGCATTATCTAAAATTAACAATTTAGATATGCTAGCAGATTGAACACAACAAAAGACAGAATTAGCAAACTGGAAATCAAGTCAAGAGAAAAAAGAATGAAAGATACAGAAGAGAGCATTAGAAACATGTAAGACACTTCACTGTAGACTTGGAATTTAAGAAAGAGAGAAGACTGAGGAAGAATAAATATTTGAAGAGAATAATGGCCAAATATTTTCCAGAACAGATGAAAGACATTAACCATACAGGAAACTTTGAAACCCCCAAGCTGGAGATAAAAAAAAAAAAATTACATGGAGAACTTTCACTTCAGCCAAGAATATGGTTGTTTAGTACAACATAGAGTGTTTAATATGGTAGCAGGTTAATGGTCTCCTTTCTCATTTTCTCATTAAAATAATTCACTTTTTTTATTTCCCAGTGAAGCATTTAATAGTTGCATTCATGTAGTTCTTGCTAATAAGCGTAATACATTATTTTAGTAATACATTGCTTTCTAGATTAAGCAGAAATTGATTATAGTGGACTCACAGGACTATTTTTCTCCAGATGGGCTCCTAAGTAGCAGATATTTATAATATTGGGATAGAATTAAAATTAAGTAATTCATTTTATCTGTTATTTCTATCTTGCAAGACTTTTCCAACCAGCATAATAAAGTTAATTAAAATATCAGTCGAGTTTGGATCAAGATGGCAGAGTAAGAGAACTGGAACTCACCTCCCCCCAAGGAATACATGAAAAATACATCTAAATGTGAAACAATTCTCACTGGAAACTGGCAAAAGAACTCCTTTTCAACCAAGGCTGTATTAAAGATATACATAGAATTGGATAGGAAGTGAAACAATGTGATCAGATTGGGACCTGTGCCCCGGAAAGGGATTCAAAGGAAAAGGAAGTTTACACAGGTGGACACCTGCCCTAGGGAGTGAGTAGTTCAAGCCACAGATTTGACACCCAATCCTGGGGTCCTGTGTCAGAGAGACAAGCCCCCTTGGCTTGTTGAAGGACTTCCGGGACTAACAGAAGGGCAGTGGGAAGCGGGAACTCTGCTTATGAGGAGCATGCATATGATGGCTTGGCCTTGAGGTAGGGTGTGGAGAGGTCTGCTCTAGAGGCTGCCAGGTTTCCTGCAACCACTTCACCACATGCCTCAGCCCGAGCCAAGCAAACACTCCAGCCCCATGTCACAGTGCAGCACTGGGTCTGGGGCAGCCATAACCAGGGAAAAGACCATGGGCCACAGAGGTGACCCAGTCCCAGGGCAGAGCCTAGGTGGGACAGCAGTAACTCCAGTAACACCTCAGAAGCAGCCCAGATCTCTGACAGGAGCCACTCTACCAGAGACCACCCCCGCTACACACTGAGAATCCTCGTGGGCCCACAGCAGAGTAGGGGCAGTGGAGGCTGGGGGCAGTCATTGGCTCTGAGGGACAAAGGGGACTTGTACCCAAGGCTGTGTCTTAGCAGAGTCACGGGTGCCTGTCTTTGGCCAACATGAACCAGGAGCCTGCATAGATCCCACTTGCTTCAGAACTACCGCACTCTGGGGCAACGGTCCTGCTGCAAGGAGAGGGGAGTCACTGCCCCCAGCCTCCACTGCCCCTCAGTCAACTATACCTCAATCCAAAGATCAAGCTTAACTATTCTACTTTCTCAAATTTTTAATCAGTAAAAGTGACTTTTAATGATAGATCTAAAACTTCCAATTCTTTAAAAAACTTTTAGGTGCTACCAAGGGAAAAATTAAGAGAAAGAGAAGGGAGAAGAGGAGTAGGTGGAGGAAAGAAAGAAAGGTAGGTAATTGTGAATAATTTAATGTAAGTATAAAAATTGGCTCTTAGAGGATTTTTCACTTTCTTCCTAATTAAGGAAAACAAAATCTACAGAGAACTTTGGAGCTGTAAGAGAAGGAGTGCTTAACGTGGTTGTTAACATGGAGCAAACCTAGTAGTGTCCTTTTCCTTCTTTTCAAATACTGTAGTCACCCCTTATCCACAGTTTCACTTTCTGAGGTTTAAGTTACCTGCAGTACACCATGGTCCAAAAACATTCAGTGGAAAATTCCAGAGATAAGTAACACCTAAGTTTTAAATTGTGCGTCCATTCTGAGTAGTGTAATGAAATCTCATGCCATCCCGCTCTGCCCAACCCTGGACATGAATTATCTCTCTGTCCAGCGTATCCACACTGTGTATGCTACCCACCCATTAGTCACTTAGTACCATCACAGTTATCAGATCCCCTAGTGTCACATTATTGAAGTGCTTGTGTTCAAGTAACCTTGTGTTACTTAATGGCCCCAAAGCACAAGGGTAGTGATGCTGGCAATTCAAATATTCTCTTACTGTGCCTGATTGATAAATTAAACTTTATCATAAGTGTGTATGTATAGGAAAAGACACAGTATATATAGAGTCTGGGTACTATCCCCAGATTCAGGCATCCACTCGAGGTCTGTGAACTCTCTCATTCGGATAAGGGGGGATTCTATACTTAGAAAACTACACAGATAGGTAAAACCTTATATTTGCAATTCTTTTGATTCTTTTTATTTTTGATGTTAACATAGTTATAAAAATAGCATATATGCTTTGAAAAAAATGCAAATAGTAGAGAGAGAAATAAAAGGTGAATGGCCGCGCTCTTTTTTCCATTTTCCTGGGATTATCCTTCTTAAACATTTGTTATATATCCTTAAGTTCTTAATCTATACACATGGAAATAAATGAAATCAATATGTATATATGAATGTATGTAGTCATATATTACAAAAAGAGGTTGCCAACTCACTTCTTTAAAATTAATTTATTTCATATAATAGTTTATACATACAAAAGAGTATTTGTAATATATATAAAAGATGTATAGTAATAAAATTACTCTATGAACCTATTATTTAACTTAAGAACTAGAACATTACCAATATTATATCTACTTGTATTATTCTTCCTTCTTTTATGTACCTGCCTCCCATCAGAAGTAATACTATCCCAAATTTTGTCACCTTTTCCCATACATTTTGATAGTACTTTTATTACAAATGTATTTATCTTTAAACATTATTAAATGTATTTTGCTTAGTTTTGAGCTTTATAAAGATAGTATCAAATGTAGTTTTCTATGTCTTGCTTTTTTCACAAAGTACTTTCTATGATTTATCTTTTCATATAGTTGTAGTTCATTAATTTCCACTGCTGTATAATATTCCATTGTTTGAATAAAGCACAATTTATTTATCCATTGTCCTGTGGATGGACATTTAGAATGTTTCCAATTTTTTTCTCTATTACAAACAATACTACTATGAATATGTTCTATGTTTCTCCTGGTGCTCATATGTAAATTTCTCTAGATTAAGTATCTAAGAATGAAATTGCTATATTGTAAAGTATGCACAATGTGGTACCCACAGTGTGATATATGTTAAACACGCTATGTGTTCAAACTGCTAAGATTTTAGGGTTGTTTGTTACTATACTCTAATACAACTTATCCTTTCTAACACAATTTGGTTGTTCAAATCATTTATAGTCCTACTGATATTTTATCTTGTTTTTCTATCAATTACAAAAGTTGTTTTAAAATCTGTCATTATGATTGTGGATTTGCCTATCTCTTATACTTATTTCCAAAGTTTGTTTCTTACATTTTGAAGCTGTGTTGTTCGGTATACTTAAATTTTGAATCATCAACTCTTTTGGTGAATTATGCTTTGTATTATCATGGACTTACTTTCTTATACCTAGTAATATTTATTACCTTAAAGTCAATTTTATCTGATACTAATATAGGTATATCAGCTCTGGGGGGCACCCAGGGTTAATGTTTGTTTAGTATATCATTTTCCATTCTTTTATTTTCAACTTTTCAGTATTTTTAGTTTGAGATGTCTCTTGTAAATAGCATATATTTGGGTTTTATTTTCTTATCTAGTCTGACAGTCTTCAATTTTTAAAAATCTGAACATTAAGAATTAATGTATTTACTGATATATTTCTTTTACACCTACCATTATACTATATGTGATTTCTGTTTCTCCCACTTAATCTGTATTTCTTTTTTTTCTTTTTTGCCTTATTTTTAATATATTCTCCATTTTATTTTTCCTTTAATTTGGGTTTATTTTAATATTGATTATCGTATAAATGATAACATACATTCTTGATTGATCAAAGACTCATACTAGTTAGCACCTTTACCTTCCACTTAGATAAGAAAAGGAACTTAGAACACTTTGACTCATTTGCCCTCCTCCTGACTTTTACACCATTGTGTCATGTATTTTAATTATATATCACTTAAAGTCTACAAAATATTATCCCCCAGACCAGAAGCTAATTCATTATTGTAAATATTTTAATTTTAAAAAATGAGAGAAATGAAATGAACTTTCAAATCAAGAAATTAGAAAAATAACAACTAAAATACAACTGAAATGAATGTAGGAGAAAGGAAATAGAAAGGTAAAAACTTTAGTGACTTTAAGAAACAGGAAAAATAGACTGTAGCTTAATCCAAGAGTTGGATATTTGAAAAATCTCAATAAACTGGTCAAACCTTAACAAACCTGCTTAAAAAAAAAAAGAAGGGAAATACAAACAAAAGTAAAAAGGAGATGGGTATATCAACAGATACATGGCTCTAAACATTTAAAGAGAGTATGAACAGCTAAGGTATGAGTATGAATCTGTCCGCAACACAGTTATACAAGAACTGTAACGATTTTCCCACAATTCTTCTCATTTTCTTTATGAAGCCCTAGCTTATTGAAGAGGATAGAAGCCTGATCTCAGCCAGTTTGGAGTTTCTTCCTTTGAGTCTAATTTCAGGGATGGGAGCAGGTAGAGGGGTGAGGAAGTGGGAGGTGGTCTTTGTGTTTCCAAAGCATGGGTGAGGGGATGATGCTCAGCTAGTCCTCAATGTTATCTATTCACACAGGTATCTTCTGAGATGTCCATCATTCTGTCTGGTCCTCAGTCACTGATCCACACCATTTGCCACTGAGATGTCCTTATTCCTGTCTGCCTAGTCCTTTCAGGTATGGTGATGCTCTCCCTGTTACTTCCACGTTATCTGTAGGGGCATGGCCATAATTCTGCTCCTCATTGCCATGCAGGGGCACTAAATGCAAAGCTATTTAAAGCCTGGTCAGCGTAATCTCCCCTCCCAGTCATTTCTTCCCTGATATGTTACTATTCCAGGGCTCAGAGTACAGTTTCTCTTTCCCCCAACCTTTGAGTACTCACATTTATGTGGATTTTTATCCTTCCCTGGTGCTCTGTGAATCAGGGTACAGGGCCTATCTCTGGGGATTTATCAATGTCTATACTCTTATTGCTTCCCCACTATATCCTCCTCCTCTTTAGTCTGGGGAAATTTCTTTCTAGTCTTGTTGCAGCTCAGGATAGGATTCCAGGGATGTGAGATTGAGTCCAGTTCTTTCCAGTTATATTTCTCTCAAATATTTTACCTATATATGGAACCTTGTCTATGTCCCCAATGGCCTACATTTTAAGAAATCAAGTTCAGAAAGACTTCTTTTTTTTCTGTTTGCTACCCTGGTTTATCCCTTCCTTAAAACAATGAGCTCACAACTGCCTACCTGCTTAGAAGGGAGTATGGGAAGAGGGGTAAGGAAAAGATGAACTAATAGGAGAAAAAAAGTTAATATTGCAAAAATATCCTGTCACATAAAAACTTGAGATGACAAATTTGTGAATAATATTTCCTAATATTTATCAAAACTACATACCATTGCTTTAAGAACTTCACATATACCAAGTAATTATACAACAGTAATTAAATAGGTACCATTTAGGTGTAGATAAGGAAACTGAGGTACAGAGAATAAATCAAGTAATTTAGCCAAGTTTTGTTCAGTAGTGTCAGAGCTTGTATTCAAACCCAAGAAGTCTGGCTCTGTAGTCCACCTTCTTAACAACTATGTCATTGGCTCTCAAATGACTCCCCAAGGAACATTTGAAATGCATAGGGGTTGTGGATCTCGTTTTTATAAAGATTGCAAAAGTTACTGGCAGTTAGTGAATAAAGACCCAAAATGTTAATGTCCTGTAGTGTGAGGGATGGTCATGAACAATAAAAAATTGACCCATCCAAAATGTAAATAGAACTCCTATTAAGAAACACTACACTGTACTGTACTACTTCTAAATTGCCAAGATTGACTCAAAAAGTTAAAAAAAAAACCAACTTAGACTACTCTTCATGAAAGAAATTATAAATGTTATAAACAATTGATAGGTACATTTTCTATTTAGTTTTTATTAAGATTTTCAGGGAATAGGCAAGTTTCGTAATATGTGTAATAATCTCTTGTAGAATATTAAAAGATATGGAATGCCTCTTAATTGACTTTGTGAAGCTTGTAAAACACGAATTAGATTTTTAGAAATATTACTGTAGATAAAGGGAGACATTTCATTATGGTAAAGGGGTCAGTGTATTAGGATGATACTACAATTATAAATGTATTCACACTGTAGTGAGTTGAATAGTATCCTCTTCAAATTTCAGGTCCACCCAGAACCTCAGAATGTGACCTGTCTTGCAGATGTAGTTAGTTAAGATCATACTGGAATGGGGAGGGACCTAAATCCAATGACTGGTGGTATTATAAGACTAGGAGAGGGCACACAGAAATGAACAGGGAAGAAGAGCATGTGACCACCAACGCAGTGATTGGAGTTATGCTGTGCCACAAGCCAAGGAACACATCAGAATGTAATCTAATGTATTACATGGTAATTATAGTTGATGATGCTATATTCTATAACTGAAGTTTACTAAGAGGGTAGAATTTAAATGTTCTCACAAAAACGGGATAAATATGAGAGGTGATGCATGTATGGGAGTTAATTCGATGGTGAGAATCTTTTCACAGTGTGTACATTTATCAAATCATGTTATATACTTTAAATATTTTACAACTTTGTCAATTACACTTATGCAACGCTGAAAAAATGCACATCTAATACACGGCAAATGCACAGATCAATGAACAGCAAAGGAAAGAGAAAATACATACAGATTCGATTTGTGAAAAATGAGTCACCTCAAACCATCAGGGAAAAGTTGGCTTATTTAAGAACTAGTGTTGATACAACTAGCTAGCTGGAAAAAAAAAATTAAAACTTGATCCCATACTTCAACCTGAGATTAGCCTAATAAAAAATTACTCATCCCTCCAGGTGGATCAAAGGTTTAAGTGCAAAGAAACGAAGCCATGAAAGAATTGTAAGAAACCATTGGGAGATGTAAAAAATTTTAATCATAAATGAAGGGGAAGGCCTTTCTACATATGTCACAAAATGCAAAAGCCATGAAATAGAGATTGATGAATTATATCAAATACTTACGTAGCTTAAGCCCAATGACCTAGCAGTTCCACTCCCAGATATGTTCTCTGAGGAATCTCATGCACTTTCACTCCAGTATACCAATACAAGAATGTTCATGGCAGTGTTGGTCATAATAGTCAAAAAACAGAAAGAACCCAAATATTGATCAATCAACAACAGAATAGATAAATAAATTATAGTATAGGTGCATAGTAAATAACCTAACCTTGCCCACCCTTGCCCTTGACTTCTGGGAGGCAATCTCTAAGCTCTCAGAATGCCGTGTCTAATACCATCTGTTTGCTTGGGGGCCTTGGATCATGTGATTTAGAGTAAGTCCGCCCACACCAGATGGTCTAATAATGTGATTTAATGTGATGGCTTTGGGTCACTCAGTTTGCAGCTGAACTTCCAGAAGGGCTAGAGATTGATATCAGCCATGTGGGTAGTCAATCCTGCCCATGTGACAGACCCCTAATAAGAGCTCTAGACACCAAGGCTAGTGAACTTTCCTAGTTGGCATACTCTATGCACATTGTCAGACATCATTGCTAGGAACCCCCAAATTTGCAATCGATGTCAGAAGTGAGAATGGTCTTGGGGACCCTGGAATATCCTCACAACGGAGTACATTGAAGTCATAAAAATATTAAGGAATCCTTTGCTTACTGATTAGGAATGGCCTTCAAGTAATATACACACAGAATGATGTGTAAAATATATTACTATTTATAGAAATAGTGATGGTGGAAGGAAGAACATATATACTTGTTAGCCTGTGAATGCATTCAAATATTTTTGGAAAGTAACACGAGAAATGTGTAAGATTTGTTGTTGCCCCTGGGGAAAATGAGGTGGCTAGTTGACAGGAGTGGAAAAGAGACTGTTTAACCTTTAAAATTTTGAATCATGTGAATATAATCACTACTCAAAAATAAATTTAAATAAAGTCTATGCATCTCTTTCATTGAAGCAGTCATTAATATGTTTTAGTTTTTTGTTGTTTTGTTTTAGAACAAAAGAAGAAATATCAAGAAAAAAAGAGAAGGAGAAAAGGAGGAAACAACCACATGCCATCACCTTTCCAAGGTACTGTGTACTTCATGTTTAAGGAGTTTATTTTATGGTACTTTTAGTAGCAGATTTGCATTTTAACTGGTTTGTCAGGATCACAGTCACAGTGTCCAACATGTTAAGGAAACAAATTGTGTGTATAATTTTGCCTATTGGTTATGTAACGATGTAAATATACTTTAAAATTTAGATTTAGATTGTCATCTCTTAAATATCTCTATCAGATTACTGGAGCTGACCCACATACTTTAACATTAAAAATTGCCAATTGAATTCTTTTTACCTTTATACTCTAAGAAAGATGAAACTCAGTAAACAGTTGCCCACTTTCAAATTTTATTTTTTAAAATATATATTAACATAGTTTCATATAATGTTATTAGAGTCACTTTGTATAATTAAAATACAGAATTGCAAATCCTAAGAAAAAGAATCTGTTGAAAATAAAAGATGTCCTGTGACTCTCAAAATAAATATCAAAATGACAAAGCTGAGTTTTCATCTTGTCTTCTATCTTTGTATGGAATAGTTAGGGCATTATCTGCTCTTCCAAATCGGGGCCTTAAAAATACATTTAGAAATTATTTTAACTTGCTAAACATGATGTCCAAATTTAAATAGTTCATATCTGTGTTTGTGCTTACATTTCTTTTTATATTTGTCCATACTTTTCTATTGGTTTCAAGAAGGCAGACTCTTAGAGAAGAAATACTGCCATAAGGGTACAAATTCTTTGGGTACCCAGAGCAATGGTTACTCTGTTTCAGATTAGTAGACTGTGCAGGCCTCCCTAAAGGAGATGATGGTATTTGAGTGGAACCTAGAGGGATGAGTAATTTTTTATTAGGCAGAAAAAGAGGACAAAGAGTATCTCAGGCTGAGGGAAAAGCATTAACAAGGGCATGTAGAAACACAAGTTCACTTTATGTAAGGATATTTGAAAGGATAGTTGAAATTGGAGCATAAGACAAGAAATGGCATATAGTAAGAAATTAGTCCAGAGAAGTACTTTGGGGCTAGTTTGGATTATATTCTGTAGGCAACAGGAACATTTAAGCATCTTATGACAGAGGAATGATATTCTCTTTGTTCTAGGAAGATATATCAATATTGGAAAGATTGGGAAGGAGGAAACCTATAGGAAGCTGTTGCAGCCTAGTCAGGAGGAGAAACATTAACATAGCCGATTATAGATCAGGCTAAAGACATTGATTATGGGGCTGAAAAGGAGAGAACAGATAGAATAGATATTGGAAAGGCAGAGTCTGCATGACCTAGTAGCTGGATATGGAAAGTCCAGAAGGTATAGTTTGGTAGAAATGCATTGTTTCCGTGGGAGAAATCATTGTAAAGAAGCATTCCAAATGGTTGTTAATACACAAAGTCCTCTAATTTAAACAGTATACATGTTAGATATTAAAAGTTTTATAAGGTATATGATTCCTTTAAAATAAGTTTAATTAAGATTGGTAGATTTCAGGCAGACTTGGCATGATACAAATTTTCATATTCAGTGAAGAACTCTGCTACATCATGGGCTGATGTGATTAGTTCTTTGTATGCCACATAATCAGCTAGTTAAATTGTAGAAGGGGAAGAATCTGGCTAATACATACTTATACCTTATCAAGTTACAAAATTAAAGTTTGACAGATAAAGGGTTTAAATATATAGGGTCTATTTCCTAGGAAAAGGGAATAGGTTGTTTCTGATAGTATTTATAAAGTTAAATATCAAAATAAATATTGCATATAAAAAGGCATTTTAATAGTTCTATGCACCGTAAAACATTTCATTTTTGTTTTACGTACACTTCAAGTGAAAAGTTCTAAAGAATTATTATATTGTAAACACATTTATTTTGTAGTAAATTAAAGGTAAATGGAGTCATTTTTTCTGAAAAATTTTCTCAGAGGCCACAATGCAATGTCGAATGTGAGCATTCTGTCACAAATTTTTCACTGAGATGGGGCACTCCATTATATAACTGACAGGTTGAAATTTGCTACCCAGTTGACCAATTACAAGGATTTGGATAATTACAAATGACTTTCCTTCCTTTAAAATCTCCAGCACATAACAATCTGTTTCATGTGTGAATTAATGGATGTCATCTCAAAAAATAAAAAATAAAGTCTAACATCTCAGCGTTTAACATTGATAAAATGCAAGCCTGCCTCTCCTCCAGTCTTCCTCATCTCAGTAAATTTACAACCTAAGCATGATCTGGAGTTGTTCTTTTTTTTTTTCTTTTTGAGTTCATTCTTGATTCTTCTTTCTCTCTCCCCTCTCCTCTACCACTACCGCCACGTAACACATTCAGTTAGTGACCATTGCTACAGGTTTTTGCTCTTTTGAAAGACCTTCCGTCCTTCTTAGCCTAAAGACTGAAAAGTGAATTTTCAAATCCCAAGCCTCCCTTGCAGCTAAGAATTGCCATTTGGCACAATTTTGGCCAGTGAAATGAAGGCCAAAATGTCTAGAATTCTTATAATGTTAAAAGTGCAATTCCCAGAAAATCTATTGGGGGCATATGCCAAAGTTCTGTTTACTCACTAATGAGGGTACCCGCAGGATGACAAAGTTAGTTCAAAAGATAATATTAAAACCTTTTATTCTTTTCACTGTGAGTGGAGGTGAGTAGAAGAAAGGAATGCTGAGATAAGATTGCTAAATTAGATATAAAATTGGTCAAAATTCTACAGATCAGTAAAACCATGGCTATACCATGGTTTAAGGTTATTCTTTCTACTGGACAGAAAAGAAAATCATCACACTTCATTCATGTTAAGTTAGCTTCTAGCTGTGTAGAGTTATGTGTTATGTAGATGTGTGAGCACTAATCCAAGGTAAATACTGCGTCAAATTTACGCTTCCTGAAGCATTAGATGACTGCTACGCAGCCTTCTTAAACAGTGCTCTAGTGTGACATTAAAATGTCGTACAGTCATCACTTTATAACTTTATTTCCAAGTTTTGAGTGTTCTCCTTAATAATTAGTGAATACTCATAGCTGAAGCTTCTGCCTGTCCCCAGCTTTAGTGTGGGTAGCCTATAGGGCAGGGCTCTTCCCCTTTCCCCATTGCACTGGACCGGGCTCATAGGGTACAAAGGCAAAGCATCCTCTCACCCTTTGCCCACTGAGGATGGAGGTCTGGCAATCCAGACAGCAGAGTTAACAGGAAGACGGCATCAGAGGCTACTGGGTAATGATAGCTGTGCTGAAGCATAAACATGCCTGTGTGCTAAAGCCACACTGTAATATTTTATTGGTTCCTGAGGGGAAAAAAAAGAAGTGTAATACAGTAAAAGTAAATAAAACTAAAATTCTAAAAAAGAGTAAAAAAGATAAAGATACAATAGGAATGATCATTTAATATGTCCAAAGTATTGTATTCCATTATAAACTATTGTACCTCACTAAAACATGTGGTCAACTGTGCAAAGATGATTCCGTCAATTATATCTCAATAAAATTTTTTAAAAATTTAAAAATAGACAATATATGGCTAAATAAAATAATTTAAAAATATATAACTCTAAAATCTCGCCTGGTAGTTGGCACTCGATTTGATTTTTGTGGAATTAGGAACTCACTAGTAAGCTTACCTTTGATAAAATGTATGCAAAACTGATATTAAGCACTTGATTGATTTGAAATAATTTAAGGTTGGAAGTTGTTGAACATTCTAACGTTTAAAATAAGTATCTGAAATTTGCAAACCCAAGAGATTTCTATCAATTATTTCCATTGCCATTCATTTCTACTCATTCTTTATAAATCCGAATTTGTGTTTTTTTTTAAACCCATACAGTAACCTAACTCCTTTATTTGAAATTTAAATCTTCATAGTTGTACTTTATTTTTCTCCCTTTTTTCAGGCCACAGAAAATGGAATTCCTAAAATAAAACCACTGTATATAAAACATTTATTTAATCTGATGATAAAATTTGATGATTAATAGTATTAAAATTTTAAATTTAACTTGTGAGTTTGCAGTAAAGGTCCAGTGTTAATTTAACTTACTTTTCAAGGATTAATGTGCTCTCATCTTAACACAATGATGTCCATAGCTTCTGTTTTCTACTCTAAGTATCAAGAAGAGTATAAGGATATATAATATTGCAAATAACAAATTTATTTAATTTTAATTTTTGTCTGCAGAGGGGCTGAAACCAGGTTGAACTTTTTGATTTCCAAAACTCAGCCTTTCGGTGTAAGGTGGCCAAATGAGGATGCCAAGCCCCAGCACCATGAAACCTACAGAAACATCAAAGAGCTCGGAGAATGGGATGTCTTTCCACCATGTTTGGACTCCTGGAACCAATCTTCACATCCTCTGCACCCACACAATAAAGAGTTGGGAAATCACATTTTGCTTATGAAGGTCCACATCCAACACTTGAGAGCCTGAAGCACAAGTCATTTGTGGCAATTTTAGGATGTTTATCCTGTACTCACATATTTGGTAGGGAGGGTGGAGACTGAGTCTGCCCTCTTGAGTATTATGCCTAATAATTGCATCTAAAAGACCTATACCAACGTCCTGCATAAAGCAGAAGACTTAGAGATGGCATGAAAAGGTAAAGTCTTATCCATGCACTTCTTGTTTGGTTATCGGTTTTCATCATCTCAGTATTTGTTCTGGAACATGTGTAATGTTCTTTTACTCTTGGTACTCCAGGTACACTGGTTATAAGTTTCCAACCAAAAGCTTTCATCTCTAAAGATGATCACATTATTTGATAAAATAAGGAAGGAGAAAGCAGGTCCCCAGGTCAGCGTTCTGGGTTGCCTAGTAGGGTTTTACACGTCACTGGGCTTTTCACTCCTTTGGGTTTATAGGTGATTGTGTGTCCAGTCTAACCGTGTTCTTTATAGTTGCCTTTAAAAGAAGCTCCTGTTAGAAGTGGATGAGGGAAGAGAAGGCCAGGTTTATTTTTTAAAACGGAAGTTAAGGTACTATTATGTTGTTATTTAGGCAAAACACCTTAAAAATAATCCTGAATACCATTCTGTGCTGAAGGTAGAGTTTACGACGTCATTCCATTACGGTAATGTAGTGTTGTGTTGTTAACGAGTGCAGTTTCAGTGCTGTTAACTCAGAGCAGTTGTAATAGGATTGCACTTAAATTAAGCATCTTTATCTTTGATTACAGAGAGATTTAACATGTGACTATCCGTCACTCCCCCCCCCCCCGTACTGTCTTCGGCTCCTAGTATTTGTATATCAAGAAAGTTATTTTCTTGTATTTGAAATGGTGACATTTCTGAAATGCACCAGCAGAGGACATAGGTTTTGGGGTCTTTTTTCTTTCACTTTTGATTTACTGAAGGCATTTTAGTTTACAAATGGACTATTTTCTTTTTTCTAAGAAAACTAATATTCATAATTATGGGGTAACCACAGTCTCCTCAAAAGGGCAAAAAAATGTAGACATTAGACATTACAGTTACTTCAAAACTCTTTTTTAACTAGTAGATTGATAAAAGTAGTGAACATGCCGTTTGGAGGAGAGAACAACAGAAGTGTGTGGGCAGATGGAGGTCTGAAGTGGGGCATCACTCTCTGCCTGCAAACCTGGGTTTACCCATATGAACAGTGCTTATAAAGGGTCAAACCATTTTTAAAAACCTAACTTTTGAGAACTGTCATACTCTCTAGGATAAAGGTTAAATTTACTGAAAGAATCATATAAAACATTTCAGAGAAGATGTAGTTTTAATGGAATGAATTTGAGAAGAGAGTTAAAGTTACACTCTAGTAGAAAAACTATGGACTGCAATCAGGAGACCTGAGTCCTCAGGCTGATTTGTCCCCACCAAGCTGTTTTCCTCTGTTTTCCTCATCGGCAGAGGCTGATGGAAGCTTCGGGGCTGGGGGAGAGTCCCTGGCACTGTGCTTACTTGGTCTTATGCTTCTGTAACAGGAAGCTGCAGGGCTAGAGGTCTCACTACAGCAAGATAACTGTGTCCGAGGTGCCTGGCACTGGAAGTTCAGTGAGTGTTAGAGGAGAAACGGGTTTGAAATGTATGGAGCTGGAGAGTAGTCTGTGGAAAATGTCAAATAATCAGATACATAAAATTGTTAGCAGAAGATTTCATTTTCATCAATATCTATCAAAAGTAATATTCTCTCCACAAACTTAATACACTTCATAATGCAGCATAGACAAGGACAAATGAACCATGCTTGCTTGTTCGTGGGAATCATACTAAATGGGATTTGTCAGAATCCCTTTTTATGTAGGACACAGACTTCCAGCAGCTACTGGAGCCAGTGTACCTGTGTGTGAAGACACATTTGTCTATTTGGCATCCTGTCATTTTAAAAAACAAATTTTGATCAACCATGACAGAGGAAGGACTGAATTATCTTTCAGTTCTCTATGTACAAAAAAAGTTGTCACAAAATCATCACACTATGACGTGACAATCAAAGAAATTACAGCCCAACCCCCCCAAGGAGGGCCAGGTTGCTTGGGGCTGGGGAGGACCCTGCTTACCCGTGGGGCCCCCGCAGCCAGCTGGAGGGTCTCTCTAGCTGAGCCTCCCATGACCGCCGGGGGGCCTTCAGGGAGCCTTCTGCAGAAAGAGCTTGGTTGTCAGGACTGGCTGACAGCACCTCCATCTTCCCACTCACCTTTGCCAGCCTCTTCATGGTCATGACACAAATCACAAGAAGGAAAGGGTCAGTAGTGCCCTTCCCCAGCCGGCCATTCCCATCTACTGGGTTCCAACTCTGTCTCTGTCTGTCTTTCTGTCTCTCTCTGTCTCTGTCTCTCCCTCTCTCTCTCTCTCATTCTCTCTCACTCACATACAGCCTCATAAATAGTTTTGACAACAGACACCAGATAATTGTCATCCTACACAATTGTATACTTTCAGGTTTATAAGAAACAGCTTTAATTCCATTATACTCTATCTTTCCAGTTGCTACAAAATGGTATTTGCTGCACTTTTTACAAGATACATCTGATCTCATCTCCAGGCATCTCCTGATGCTGCTAAGCAAAGATGATAAACATCTACCTCATAAGCAACCTTGCAACCATCTGTCTCTAACATAGGATAACATAAGGTCATGGTAATAACTCCAGTGTGCACCCATCTCCTACTGAGATGAAATCATTCAGACATGTAGTAGATTCAGATGGATTCAGACAACATCTGAATTTCTTGAGTTCCCCAGAAAGAGTAACATAAAACAGGTTCTTAGCCTTGGTTGCACGATGAAATCACCTGGGAAGCTGTAGAAAAGCTGATGCCTGGGTCCCATCCCAAGTTTCTGATTTACTTTGTCTGGAGTGCAGCTGGGTGCCAGAATGTTTAAAAGCCTCCCCGATGATCTAATGTGCAGCCAAGCTTGAGAACCACAGACCTAAAAGATTAGAAATATTGGGCTCAAGAACTATGATTAAAGAGCCGGGTCTGGCTATTCCAAGGAAGGAAGGTGATGACTGCTCTCTGGTGAGCTCCAGCGACATTCTGGCATCTGTGTTAATGGCGGGGAAGACTGTCAGGAACAACTGTCAGATCTTAAATTGGAAAGTTCCTTTATAGTTTGCAAAGCATTTGACCTTATTTTAACCTCTCTGCAATCCTGGGAGGTAGGCAAGGTTATCATGCTTAGATGAGAAACAGGAGCCTCAGAGAGCTGAGTGATTTGTGAAGATATAAATGGGAGAATCATTTTGGGAGAACCATTACCCAGAATTTCTGGCAGCCCAAAAGTGCAAACAATTTTATCTGCACTGTTAAATTCCTTCCCCCTCTCCTCCCCAAGGCAGAGCAAAATATGTTCATGGGTAAAAGATAGGAAACCTTTTAAGAGAAGATGGAGCGACAGAGAGAAACACCAACCAAAATAAAAAGTTCCTCAGAAAGCAGATAATAGGGAGCTGTCTTCATACTAGGGGCAAAGAGCAGCGGTTATGGCTTTATTGTTTTCCTGTTTATATAGGGAAGAAGACTGATATGGCAACAGAGGTTTAGATAATCAAAGGAACCTTCTAGCTTCCTTATCCATGAGACCTTCAGCTGGAGTCTTATATGTGGCCCAGAAGGAGGGAGTCACTGAATTACCTCGATATGGGACTGAAGGTAATATTAAGTTCTTTGAAAGAACAAAGATGATATTACAATAGTCAGTATCAGGGAAAGGCATTTTAATATTAAGTTCTTCAAATTTTCAAAGAATCAATCTTCCAGAGCTTTGAGATTTTAGGTTGCTCTCAGTCAGAGCTAGAGTAAATTTTGGAAGCTGACTGTTTTGTGGGGCCACCTTTTATGTGTTTTCCCATCCACCTTCTTTTAGCAACGACATCCCCCCTCTTAACTTCATGTAGCCTGCAATCTGTGCCCCAGGGCCCCAGGTGAGCTCATGATCTGCCCGAGGGCGGCGTGCAGCCCAAGCAGGTGCTATCGCCATGTGTGCTGGTTACAGATCAGTAACCCTAGCACTTGCAGTGATAACCCCCAAATCTCAGAGGTTTAACAAATTGACGTGTATTTGTAATTCACCGAAGTCCATGTGGTCATTCAGGGACCCGGGCTCCTTTTTATCTTGTGGCTCTACTCTCTATGGGGCCTCAGAGTCCTCTCTCATCAGTCTGTAGGTGGAAAAAGAGGATAGAGAATCACTTTGGGGACGTTTTTATGGACCAAACTGGAAGTGGAGTCTTCCACATCTGCTCACATTTCGTTGGCGAAACTCACTTGTGCACATGGCCCCTCCTGAGGCAGGGGGAGCTGGAATCTCATCTCATTGCAATCCCAGGAGAAGGAAGAAGCAGGCTTGGTGCCCAGCTGGCCAGGCGCTGCCACAAGGTCTTTCTCCAAGATTGGTGTATGGAGGGTGGGGTGCTAAACTGGGGTGATGTCAGCCTGGAGCACTAGTGGCCATCTTTCCTGGCTGCAAAGAGGGAGGGTGAGCCCACTAGAGGAAAAGTAAACCAGAGGGAGGCAGAGCCAGCGGATGGAGAGAGAGGGAGGGGAGGAGGGGGGCAGGAGAGGGGAGGACAGGACAGGGGAGGGGAGGCCAGGGGGAGGGGAGAGAGCACGTTTCACTGGATGAGCTCCCTTGGTCACTAACCACCCTGGACTCCTCAGTTATGGATGCCATCGGGACCAGCTACATAATTTGCAGCTACATCAGTACAAAATTAACTTTGGAGCCTGTTGTTAAAAAATTATGAACTTCAAGGGAGGAGGGTATAGCTCAGTGGTAGAGTGTGTGCTTAGTATGCATGAGATCCTGGGTTTAATCCCCAGTACCTCTGTTAAAATAAAACAAATAGATAAATAAAGTAAACCTAATTACCCTCTGCCCCCCAAAAAACCAACCAAACAAAAATTTTTTAAAAATTAAGAATTTCAGGACAGCAAAGCATTCAACCAAATAAGAGGCCTCTCTGGGTGCTAGGCAGGTCACACACCCATGAAGCTGGCCCTGGGGTTACAGATGCCCTTCGGTGCTTCTGCCGGTTTGATCTGGATTTCTCTTCCCAGCAGCTAAAACTCTGGTTTAATACTATAGCATTGCCCTAGACTCTGTCCCAAGAGGTTGTAAAGTCTCCAGTTTGGCAAAGAATAATAAATCTGTAGTGTGTTCATGAGTCCTAGCATGAAGCTCTGTATACAGTGGATGTCACTAAGTGCTGATTGTCAGTTTTACCTGGAGGCAGTCAGAAGGCAGGGCCAGGCCGAGTGCTAGGAGTTTCTTTGGGTTCTAGGATTCTACCTCTCAAGGCCCACATTGAGGAAGGCAGGACACTGGCAAACAAAGAATTACAGTTGTCCCAAGTATCCCCAGGGGGGTGGTTCCCCAGGGATACCAAAATCTGTGGATGCTCAAGTCCCTTATACAAAATGGCATAATAGTACTTGCATGCAACCTACACACACTTTAAATCATCTCTAGATTACTTAAAATACCTAATACAATGTAAGTGCCATGTAAGTAGTTGTACACACAATGTAAATGCTATGTAAGTAGTTGCCAGTGTGTCGAAAATTCAGGTTTTACTTTTTGGAACTGTCTGGAATTTTTTCCCCCTAGATGCAGGGTTGGTTGAATCTGCAGATGTGAAACCCATGGATCCAGAGGGCCGTCTCTATAGCATTCTGAATTAATTTCAAGACCACACACACCTGGATCATTTTGACCCAAAGTGCCCTTGAGAAATCCCACCTCCTCCAGGAAGCCTTCCAGAGTAATTCAGAGAAGAACCAAAAGCCCAGTTTTGTCTTATCTGCCTGGAACACTTAACAGGATCCCATGCCCCTGCCCCATCTCCTTTATGGTTACTGCACATGAGGCACTCAGTAAATATTTGATTAATAAATGAATGAATTCTTAAGAATTGTATTGACCACTTGCAATGTGCCTAGCATATCTTGGGAGATACAAACTCAAATCAGACATGGATCCTGGCCTCGGAGAACTTACAATCTAATGAAAGATACAGATACATCATAAATGCCTTGATGTTCACGCATAGCTTCACTTGCCCCCTGTCCTGCATAAGATCCAAGATGGGATCCAAATGCACCCATCCATCAGGCACATTTGTGAAGTACCTACTCTGCACCCAGAAGGCGGAGACCCAGAGATGAAAGACCTGGTCCAACACTTAAGGATTTCACAAACTACAGGAGGCAGTGGACTGGCAGGAAGAGGGAAGGAGTAAACTGAAAACCACATGCATTTCCAGCACCGTGTGGTAAGTAAAGTGATGAGGGCTTTTCAGGCTGTTCCAAGAGCACCTAGGATCGATCTGTGTCTCTGAGAAGCAGTGCTGCATAAGGAAGGAACCGTGGCTCTGTTTCAGGCAGGCCACGTGCTTGTAACCTGAGACAAAACATAGCGCACCCCACCTCAGGGTCACAATCAAATAAGATACTGTGGATAAACTGTAAAGGACCATTTAAATGTTAATAAAGGAATGTTCTTGATGACAAAGCCACTTCTGTCCATAGCAATATTGTTGGCCTGGCTCATTTGGATAAAAGCTCTATTTTTTTCCCGTCCCTGAAGCTGCACTTCAGAGCAGCTTCTTTGCCTACTGGCTTGATTGCTTTTCTCCTTAGGAGACGCTAACCTCACTCCGCTCTGTCCCGTGTTCTGGAGCCTGGACATTTCATGAGAGCCTAGCAGAAGCCCACAGCCCCAAGTAGGGGCCAGAAGTAGTTCTAAAACTGTTAGCCTCAGGACATGGCTACACGGAGAGGAATGGCTTGTTCCTGGAGTGGAATTCTCCCCGCACCAAATTCCAGCTGGGAGGAGAGATTGGGCTGGAGAACTTCCAAGTTAGACTGCAGGGCTTTGGGAATGTCGCATTTGCTCCAGCAAAGGAATCGTAACTGGAATGAAATACAATCAAATTTGCTAGAAAACACTCCACCCTCTGTTAGCTTGTGAATGCCTTTCTCTGTAACACAGAAACTCTCGGACATTTTTAGAAACTTTAAAAAATCATTTTGCTATTTTTGCCTTTATGATAAAATCATGATTGCTAGTCAAGTGTTTTTATTTTTATATTAGCATCTTACTAAATATAATGATGCTAATTTAATACACTATGTAATAATACTCATAAAGAAACATGTCAATTTCCATATTTAACAGACAATGCAAAATGTTAAACTGATTTAAAATAACTGTCTAAAAATGATTTGTCGATGAATAAATTTTCAAATAACATACTTTGTTTTGCTGGGGAGCCACATGAATGTAAAGACAGACTGAAATTCCACTGTGTTGAAAAATGGCATCAAAAATAGACATAAACTTTTTTCATTACCTAATGTTAGAATTCTTGAGAGTTCCCTTGAGTTATTTTGATAAATGTTAGTGTTTTGCTTCTAAATGGCAAGAAAAGAAGAGAAGATGTTAGGTTGCTGTTTGCATGCAAGTCTCAAAAAATAAAATACATAGATGTGGAGAGTATTTTCACTAAATGGAAAGTCAAATTAGATATACTGTCACTATTGATTGACATTACTTTTTCAGGCTATTGGAGAATCTTGGTTGCCATGGAAGAATTATAATCAAATGAAAATAACAAGGATCTGAGTAAAGAGCATCCTTAAGCTAGTTTGCAGAATTGTTATAATTTATGTGCAGTCATTAACTTACTGTATACTGACACTAATGTTTCACAGGCGCTCTCTTTTTCACCAACACTTTATTGTGGACTTAAGTAAACACTATATGACCAAGAATAAAGCAAATTACAACTTTCTTGTCAATGTGTCGGGCTTGATTAGATCCTCATTCAAAGGAATAACCTGCAAAGATCATTTGTTGGGAATAGTTAGGGGAAATTGAATATAGATTGGGTATTAGATGATATTAAGGAATTAATTATTAATTTTGTTGGGAGTGATAGTATTGTATTGTAGGAATACACAGGAAATTTTTCTTATTCCTTTGCAGTGCATACTGAAGTATTCAGGGGTATAATGTAATGATGTCTAGGATTTATTTTTAAATACCAAAAAATAGAAAAGTAAATATGGAAAAATGTTAATAACTATTAAACCTTGATGATGGGCATATTGGAGGGGGCGGGGTCCTTACACTTTTTCCTCTACTTTTCTGTGTGGCTGAAAATGTTCATAAGGCTTAACAAGTGAAAGAATAAACCACAAAGCAAAATAACGTAATCACAGAGTGGTCCAGAACCCACTGGCGCCCTCTAGTGGTCAGTGGTGTTGAGCTGCATGAGAAACTCAAACTGCCAGGAGCCTCCATCACACTCGCAAGGAGGCTCTCAAACCGTTTTATTCTTTCATTTGTTGTTACTGGGTTTTTAAAACTCAAGATTGAGACAGACCTCATTACTCCGGGTTTGAGTGCCACCAGCTGGGATTCCCTGCAGTGGGACAACGGGTGTCTGAAGTTGATGGCTTCTGTCTGTCTTGACTGAGGTGGGCAAGAAAGGCTTTCGTGGGAGGGCAGTGACTGCAACTTAAAAGAACACAACGAAAGCTCAAGTCTTCCTTTTCTTTGGGAAGAACAGGTACATGCAGGGTGGTGGAAAAGAGGAAACAGGGTCGATGTTTTCTTAACTGGTCTCCTCTGAAGTCCCCTCGGAGTTGACCTTGATACTTCATTCCCTGGGGAAAACATGACCCACATCCAGGGCATCACAAAGCCCACACTGCCCGTGGCTAGTAAGCCTTTTCTAGCTCTCCCAACACTTTTGCTCCCCAAACTGAGCTGTCTGCTTACCAAAGGTCACTTCTGTTCCTGCTAAACCCTGTGTGTACCAGTTGTTCTTATTGTTATGCTAAAAGTACACACAAGCTAATAAAACTTAAGTGCAGGACTCCCATCAGACAACCCACACGTGTCACAAAAGAAGTGAACACAGCTTGGATCTACATTAAAAGTTCGGCAATTGGATGAACTTTTTTATGTGTTAAAATATGTAAGATATTTAATGTGTATATTTTTATTTAAGTGAGTCTCAACTGTCACTGATTATGTTAATGAGCTGATCAACTCTTTCATCTTGATACCATTAGATGGAGGTTTTCCACTATCCTTTGATTCTCTGTCCAGATTTGAGTGAAAATATCCAAAACCAGATCATTATAAATTTTTTCCCCACTCAGCTTGGTCAAGGAATATATAGATACCCCCACATTGACTTATCTGCTCTTGGCATTTTATTTAGACTAATAATAAGACCCACTTGCATTTTCTGACCATGCACTGACAGTTGAGGGCAGACACTTTCCCCACCCATTCCCCCACACCCAGCTTCAGCTCAGTCAGGGTGTGTGAGGAGGCTGCCTGATATCTTCCAGATTTGCTATTGTTGATCCACGCACTGGATAATCCACATGCCCATCATCAAGATCTAACCGTGTTAGAAATGGAAGGACAGAGAAGTCTGTAGGGTGACATTGCACTCAGGAGCCTCGAGGTCAGTTAGAGGCTTGGGCATCATTTTCTCTGAAGAAAATCAAAGAGCAGGCACAACCAGATAGAGAAGGACCCTGGAATCAGAGAGCTGGCTCTCCAGAGCAGCGAGTCAGAAGGCCTTGAAGCTTAGCCTCTGGAAGGAGCTGCTGGGGGCTGGCCACTTCCCACATGATGACTGTGGGATGGGGGAATGGCGACCTACCTCAGACCCCCACCCTGGTGCCAAGGTAAAGAGATGCATCAGACCACAGGCAGGCAGAGACCAGCCCTTGGACCTGTCCCATCATAGCCCAGGACTCAAGGACTCAGGGGCAGAGACTTATGTGTGTGGGACAATCTCACCACCCATGGGGATCTTGCTACAGTTAATGGTGGCAGAAGCCTGGACCTCTTGGAGCCTCAGTCCTCTCATTCACTACTTGGAGGAGAGTAGACCTGGGTCCCTTACAGCTCTGCCCATCCCCGAGGCTGTGACCCACCTGCAGGGGTGAGACTGACCAGTCACCAGCAGAGAATGGACACCATCTGACAGGTGCCTCATCATTGCCCAGGGAGAGGGGATGAATGGGACATCTCTAAGGTGAGGTGAGAACTTATGACTTGGCAAAAAGCAGGGCAACTCTTCCTATTCCAGACAGAAGCAGAAGATAGCGAGGGCGTGGTGGTCTTCCAAGACCCTGAATCTCCCTGAGGCAGGGAATGGGCTGCTCCAGCCGACTTGTGCAGGGGAGTGAAGGGGCCCTTGCTGCAGCTCCAAGCCCTGACTAGGCCTTGTGGCCAACTGGAGAGGGCAGTGAAGGGTGGCTCCATCTAATAGGAGTGTCTTGGGATGGGGTGGTTTCTTTGGCCCCTGCGTCAGGGGCAGGGCGGCTGGGGAAGTTCCAGGGCCCAGGACGGTCCCGAGCTATCACGCCCTCCCACAGGTGGCTCCGCTCCTGGGCAGGTGAGGGCGGGTCAGTACTCTTTCTGCGCCCGGAACTCGGGCAGGCTCCAGGTCCGGGACGGCGGAGGCGCGTCCCGCTCCACGTCCTCCGAGATGGTGCGGATGTCGCTGGCGAAGGGGGCGATGCGCGCGCGGGTCTTGAAGGTGGCGCGGGGCCGCAGGTTCCACTGCCTAGTCAGCTTTTGCGCCTCCTCCTCCTGCTGCATCCTCTCCAAGACCTCCTGCAGCACCGAGCGGAAGAGTCCGGACACCTCCTGCACCTCGGGCTCGTGCTCCGCTATCAGCTGCCTGAACCTGGGTGCAGAGATGGGAGAGGTGAGAGGGCGCGGTGGGGCGGGTCACCCGGGCGCGGCGCTTGGCCAGTGTCTAACCCCAGGCGCGTCTCCGTGCACCTCCGTGGGCAATTCCCTCCCCCCACCCCACTGCTTCCCCACTTCTTTTGAAGTGAATCAGGAACCACCCACCCACCTACTTAGTGCCCCAGCCCATCCTGAGTTCAAATTCCAGCTCTGCCACCTCTTGCCTTCATGTGACTCAGCTTCCTCGTCTGTAAACTGGGGTCATAGTTATTCTTTTGTAAGATTTAATGTGCTGATGTATGTAAAGATGCTGGCACTTCCCTCAGGTCATCAATGCAGTAGTAGTAAGGGAAGACCATCGCTCTCAGGGACTTTTCTGGCTAACCCTCTCCCACCCTTCTGCCGTCCCTGGCTAGTGTGATCTCTCTGAAATATGTATCTGCTTCTGTCACTGTCCCACGCTATTCCTTCCGTAGCTCCCCGCCACCTGCTGGGTGAGAGTGAGCTGTCTGGCCATGCGCACCAGGCTCCCTGCTAATCCGCCACAGTCTGCAAGGCAGCCAGGAAGAATCACGTGGTACCCCACTGCCTCAGGTTCTCCTGGATCCCTGCCCAAGCTGTTTCCTCTGCCTAACAGGTCTCTGGCTTAGAGCTCAAGAATGAACAATAGCTAGCAAGTCCATTTAGTACCTGGTTTCCTCTACCATATTGAGAGTAAGGACTTCTCCAACTTCTCAGCAATGAGATAGGAAATGTGATGGGACAGTCCCCAGAGTGTCCCCAGCAGCCCTCCCCCCATTTATGAGTTTTGGTTTGCCAGCTTAGATTCTTTTATCAGCACCGCCCATAGCCCATGACTCATGACTCACCCCCAGCCCTGTCCCCAGGGTGCTTCTGGAACTAGGTACATTTGAGGGGTTTCCATGGTGCAGAATAAGAAAAATGGGGGAGGGTAAGATTCTCAGCCTAGAGGAATAAGTGTGAGGGGGTGGTGATAAGACCACAGAACCCAAAGGAGTATGAACAGGACTGAAGAAGAAGTTTTTAAGCAGAATTTCAAAGAGAAAGCTGTCTCATAGATGCATCTATTGGCTAAAGAGATGGGTAAGGGAAGCTTTGGGGAGACTAAGGGGGATTTAAGATGTTTTATTGTGGAATTTTATTCCTTTACTAGGGTTCAAGAAATGCAGGTAAAAAACTTGAATTAGTTTTGACATTACTCTTGGCTGTTGGACTCTGCTTCCTTAACCCTGAACCCAACGAAGACTGGACCATGTGGCTCACAGCTTTATTAAAGTTATATTGAAGTTCAGGAACAGGTCTGTATTCAAGTTATAAACGTCCGATGCCCCAGGGCTCTGATTCCTTTGAGAATGCGTGCACACAAACACACACACACACACACCCCTTAGATAAACTAGTGTGAAATAGAGTAACTGCGAAACCAATTTTGGAGAGATTATGTGGGAAAACCTCTCTTAGAAGGTAATATGGAAGATGAACTAATGATGGAGAGGAAGCAGTCAGGATGCTAACAGTCCAGGCAGGGAGGATAGAAAGCTCAAAGGCCTGGGGTTCTTTCCTATCAAAACCCACGTGCCTCCACCCCCTTTTGAGCCCCTAGCCCTGGCCTGGCATGCCAGGGCCTCTTTCAGACCCAGCTTCCTGTCCTGGTAGCTCAGGCCCTTGCCGCTGTGGTCACCCGCCCTAGAGTCTGAAGTCCAACCGTTGGTCCCTGTCATTGCCGGGGTTACCTGAGGATGGCAGGCCCGCAGTAGGATGGGTGGATCTTGGCACAGACATCCTCCAGTTGCATTCTCTCCCCGGGGCTGAGGTCGTAGGTGGGCCGGGGCGCGCTGGCCAGCCAGCTGTAGTCCACGCCGGTGCAGATCTTCCTGACCGCGTTGCTGCGCTCCCACTGCTGCCGCTCAGCCTCTCGCATCTGCCCTGCCAGCTCCACCATGAGCGTCTCCAGCACCATCTCCGCTGGACTCCGCGACGACAGCCGTGGTGGGGCCTCGTTCCACCGGAGCCACGGGATGAGGGACATGACACCACCAGGCCCTGCCGAGACAGGGCAGGAATGCATCTTCCTTGGGCTCCTCTGTCAGTTAGGGTGGGGAAAACAAGCGGGAGGGAAGAGAGCTGGGATCGGAGTGAAAAGAACTGCTTCCGACCCTCACAGCTGGGTGACCTCCAGTAAGTCGCTTAACCTCTCTGAGCAATCATTTCTAATTCTGTAAGACAAGGTAGAGCTGTTGCAAGAAGCTGTCGTGAATAAACTTGGGAAGCTCCAAGCACTCACATAAAAGTAAGATAATCTCTCATGGTTCTAACAATCCCTAAGACATCCAGATGACTGAGCCCTGAGGAACTGCCCCCTGAATTCTTGCTAACTCCAAACCAAATGGAGTTAAAAACAAGACAAGTCCCAAATGGAGTCACTTATGCTAAGACCCATGTCGCCAAACCAAGTAAACTTAATTACAGCTTTGCCTCTTCCAGAAATGGAATCTTAAACCAGTCAGTCAGGAATTGCCTGATCAGCACTAGTTAGGTTATATGCCAGACAGACCCCTGCCGTCCCCTAAAGGAAGGTAACTTTGCAATAACTAACCCACCTTTTTGCCTAGTATAACTTCTTTGTTCCTGCTCCCTTATGGCTATAAAAGTCCTTTATTTTGTACAGCTCTTTGGAGCTCTTTGTTATTTGCTCAATTTGATGCTACCCAGTTGGAATAGGTTTTTCTCAAATAAACTCTTAAAAAATGTAATATGCCTCAGTTTAACCTTTACTAATACTGAGGGTCTGAACACAATCTCACCCCTATGATTTAAGGGGACACACACAGAGGGGTGCGATGCTCTTGAATGAGCTCTTAATATATCCTGCCAGATACACCTCTGAGCACCCTCCATGGAACTACCGCACTCCCAGAAACTGGTTAGCATCTGTGCCAACCCATCTGCGGCTTTAACTCCTCTGACCTCTCCTTCCAGTGGAAATACCGTCTCCCTGGTTTCCATTAGATCTCACTCCTTGGTGTACCTCCCAGCTTGGTCTACCTCCTGGAAACTCCCTCTCAGAACTCTTGGGGGTGCCCTTCCCCTGGCCTTCCTTGAGTTGTGGCTCTTCCCTGGCACTCTGCCAGAGGCTGTCTCCTCATTTTAATGTCCCTCATCCTTTCACATGCTTCCAGTTACTCCCTGAATATTGATAGTTCCCAAACTGAAATCTATAACCCAACTGTCCCCCAAGCTCCAGGTCAGGGTCTCCAGGTGCCTCCTGGATACCTGCTTTGTAGGTTCCACTTGTATCTTCAACCCAAGATCCCCATCCTCCTCCCCTTTGGCTGCTGCTTCCCCCTGGTCTCCAGCTTGGTAGGGGCATAGCTTGGTTACTCCCGCTGATGAACCATCGGGTCTTGTCCCTTCGCCTCATCGGTCAAATCCTGTATCCAGTTCCTGTGGATTCTCCCAAATCTGTGCACTCTTTCTCCCTCCATTAGTTCAAGTCTTGACCATCTTCCAGCTACATTATATCTGCTGCCTCCTACCTGGAAACCCAGGGCTAGTCCTCCCGATCCAATCTCCACGCTATTTTCTTTTTATTGTGGTAAAACAAACAAACATAATATGTACCATCAGAAGCATTTTTAAGTTTAAAGTAGTGTTAACTATATGCCTGCTGTTGTGAAACAGAACTCTAGAACTTTTTCCTCTTGCAAAACTGAAAACCTCTACCCATTAAACAGCAATTTCCGCTCTATTTTCTGAAGTGTGATCTCTCTAAATCATAACACTGACCATGTCACTATTTCATTTTCATTAGATTCCATAACACAATGCATGGGGTCTGTGAAGAGTAAAAAGGACTCTTTGTCCCCTACTCCACCAAAAAGTGTCATTGGCTTCAAAACAGAAAGAGATACCTGCAAAACTGAAATTAAGAAATTAATAATAGTTTCAAATCAGAGTTAGAAAACTCCCTTCAACTTTTTTCCTGAAAAAATAATTGTAACGTGGATTTATCTGCTGATGTTTGATGTGATGTGGAGTGAGGCTGTGAATAGTAAAAGGGCCTAAGGCCTGTGAAGATCTTCAAATCATCCTATATTTAAGACCTGGGGTGCTTAAAGGCTTTCAGTGTTTCCTGATTATCCTCAAGATTAGACCGGGGCCCCTTAAGTGGCTTCTAGGCCCTTTGTCATGTGGATCCTGTTTCTGACCAGCTTCATCTCACACCAAACTTCCCCTTTCCCCAATCCTCCCCAGACATCCTCCCCCACCCCCACACTCCATTCCCCTAAAACACCCTGCTCTCTCTTGCTTCCAAGCCTGGGCACATTCCTAGAATACTTTCAATTCCTCAATTCCTGGATAAATCCTTCCTTAGCTCTTAGCTCGTACTCTGCTCCCTTTAGGAGACTTCTCGAGCCTCCCTGAGCTCACGCCATCCCCACAGAGTCACAGAGAACCGAGATTTCCTGTGTGCCCATCTCCTTCTCCAGATGGAGCGAGGACCCAGGTCTTGGGCGTCACGCTACCCAGGCCCCCGCGCCCTTAGCTACAGCAAGTGCTCAGTGAATGAATATCCGTGAATAGATGGGGTGATGCCTCTATTTTCTGCCTTGTTTGCATGAGTCCCAGAGCAGTGGATGGAGCTGACCCGGGGTGCGTTAGGCCTTGTCTCCCCACCCCCGCCCACTCTGCGCGCGCGCTGGCGGCTGTGCAGCTGGGCTTCACACCTACTCCAAAGGGGCTCACCCGGCCTAAGGTCCGTCTTGATGGATTCGCCTTTGGGTCGGGCACTGCCCTCCTTAAGGGCATTTTTCCCTTCTTTCCTTCTTAGTCTGGATTGCATTTAAGCTGAAAGAGGCCATAGAGGGTCCTCCTGTGGCTGGAAATACAGCAGAAAGGGGAGGTGGGAGGCCTGAGGACACGGTTTGTCTCCAGGATGAACTGGCCCCCTAACATCCACGCAAAGGCCACTCCCGGCCTGGAGGGGGCACCAGGCTCGAGCCACAGGCCCACACCTCACATCTGAAGGGGCTGCAGACAGAGGCTCACGTACCATAGGTTTAAATATTTGTAAGTGACAAATTAAGCTAGCAAACTATTAAATAAAATATGTTCTGCTTCCTTCTTTGTCAAATATACCTTCATCACAACTTGGAGGGTCCGAGTCAAACAGAATTCTTGGACTCCACAGAGTTCTTGGCTGGGATGTGGAGGCGTGGGTTGAGCCAGCTTCTGGCCCTCAGCCTGTCCCCTCTACTCACACCAGTGGGGCCTGGCAGACATGTCTAGGACCCACTCACACCCTCACCAACAGCTCCTCATTCCTCCTTTAGGCCTAGGCTGGCTCACACTGTGATTTCATCCACCCTTGGGGGACCGGGCCCATGGCAGTGGGCCGGTGGCTGTCCAGGCAAGGATCTCAGCACCTGAGGTCTGACCTGGAGGGAAATGACCTCAGGGTGGGCATGTCTCTGGAACCCCCCAGACTCCTCATCCCAGGTAGGGGAAGCCTCCTTCTCGGGTGGAAGGCCTTGCTCCTGACCCCAGCCTCCCGCTGGAGACAGGCACTAAGCGCATGTGGATGGCAGCTCTCAGCGGTGATCCCACTTGAGTCCTGGCCCTGAGCTTCTCTGGCCCAGGGGCAGACTCTCAGCGGGGCGGAGGGTGTTCTGCATTTTCTCCTCGCTGCAGCCCCTGCTTCCCAGCCGGGCTCGCTTGAGGCTTTGACAGAGACAAGGTTTCTGCTGGGGCTATTTCTGTCTCTGGTGCCAGCTGTTCTCCCCGAGGCCCTTCAGTAGGTCTGATTAAGTTCTTAAAGGCAAAAGAGGGAGGGAGAGAGGGAGGAGAGATGGAGGGAGGGGGAGAAGGAGGGAGGGGGAGATGGAGGGAGGGTTGGAGGGAGGGAGCGGAGAGGCAGAGAGGTAGGCAGGCCAGACCAG